GAACAGCGTCCGGTACTATTTTTGAAAAGCGCCCGAACCACTATTTTGCTAATTCTTGTCACCTCAATGGGAATATGCAGCAATATTAGCTTATATAGGGAGCAAATGGACCTCCCAAATCCAAAAATACAATCAGATTTCAAAAATTTAAATTTTGATTTTTCGAATTTCTGCCGCCGACTGTGAACTTGCCGACTTCCGGCGCTCCCAACGCGCCATGTTTAGAGCTAGGGAAACGAAATACATACCAAACGATAGACAATTGATCAAGGAACACGATAGTGAAGGTTTCAAGTCGATATCTCCCACCGTTTTGCCGCAATCGCCGCCGAAAGTTGAAAAAAGTATATTTTCCCGAAAATTTGACCTTTGACCGGTCAAAAGTAGGTCAAATGTTGACCTAGGACCAAAAAATATACCACCAATCGCGAGATCTCGGCGAGAGCAATCCGTTGGTCTTTTCCGCTAAGCTCTACGACGCTCCGTTTTCAAACGCCAAGGGGGGGTCGCACCAACCCCCCCCCCCCCTGCATGGGCGAAGGTGGCAGATCGCCGTTTACGGGCGAGGGTTAAGTCATAAAACGTCTCAAAGTTTTGGGCCTGGGGCTATGAGAAACAATTGAAAAGGTAGGTAATTATTTTCGTTTGATAAATTTTCTTTGCCCCGGTCATAACTCCTCATTGGCCCCTGCCCTTGCATTGAAATCGACAGAATACAAATACCTCTAATTAATATTCCCTGTTTAAGAAATATATATGACATTGCATCACTGCTGTCACAAAAAAGCTCGGTGGACACTATAGCCATAGAAGGCCACGCCCCTAGGTGCGTTCAATAAGTAAGTTCCGGAGAACAATTACATAAAATTCACGCGGTCTACGCACGTGATTTTTTCAGGGATTAGAATTCAGACCTTTATGTCGAAGTGACCGCATTTTCAGCTTCTTATTCCATTTCTGTGACGATAAGGAGCGGATCAAATAACACCATTTTTTAAGACTGCTTTAGAAATGGCATCGGCCACCCGAGAGGATCAACGTTCAGTGATACGATTCCTAGCTATCCAGGGCTAGCCGGCGGCTAACATCCACGCCAACTTCGCGCATGTGTACGGGAGTCATGCTCTTAGTGATTCCGCAGTTCTGAGCCGGAAGAAAAGGTTTGGGTAGGGGAGGGAGAGCGTGCGCGACCTGGCACGTGCAGGCAGGCTGAGGACGATGGTCACAGCCACTGACGTCGCCAAAGTGGAGGAGATGGTGATGGCCAACAAAAAGATTACTGTCCAGGCGATAACAGAAAGCCTAAACATAAGCCTACGCCAGGATCATTAGAGACCATCTCCTGCCAGTAATCGCCAGTTGCCGCCCCGAGAAGGCCCGTGGTCGGTTCATCCTCCACCAGGATTGCGCGCCTCCTCACCGTGCCCTCGTGGCGAGGGATGCCCTGCAGGCAGAGGGCATCGAGGTGCTCTAACACCATCCCTATAACTCTCCCGACGGCACGCAGTGACTATTGGCTGTTCGCAGACATGAATAAAAATCTCCGGGGCCGGAGGTTCGGCTCGCGGTCTGCACTCGGGTCTGCTTTTTACCAGTATGGCGAAAAGGCCCTCACTCAAAGCTTCCGTGCGGCCATCCGGGACCTGGCCAAGCGATGGGAACGATGCGTTCGCCTGCGGGGCGAGTTCGTCCAGCCGTGAGCCATGTTTGGTTGAGATGTGCCAAAAAATAAACGAGTTATATCAAAACGGAACTTACTTATTGAACATACTGGTAGATCCAAACCCCGGGCCTGTCGACCCTTCCTGATGTCATCAGTGGCGTCGCCGGTGACTCAGTGTCCTCTCTCCATCACTTGATCTGCCCCGCCGCAGCCGTCGTCGTATGTCTGTGTGTTTGTCCTTCTCCTCGGAACGATAAATCAGCCCCGGTTGTTGTCAGACAGTCGGCTGAGCCTCGGTCGGGTCAGAGGGGAGGGGAGGTCTGACGCTCTCTCGGTTCCTGAACTCGAAACCATGTCTGACTTGGCTCCTACGTCAGCAGACGCACTTATAAGGCCAGTCTGCCAGCGGAGAGCTGCGTGGCAGTGCGTCTGAAGGGGGTGAGTCACAGCTCCAGAAGATCCCAGTGCTGATCCAGACTGACGTGGAGAGGGGTTTCGTATGTTCGACGGAGACGCAGAATGATAACCACGATAAATCAGGCACGGCGAACCACGGGAACGCCTTAGGTCAGTATTGATGTATACTGTATAACCAAGCAGAAACAAATGTTTGCAGACTAGTATGCACCGAGCAAAAGATGGACGGAATGGTCGTATGGAGCAAACGATTTCCGTTAGACGTGAAAAGTCGGCAGCAACATACGATATACCGATAGGTAACATCTGTGCAGGATAAGTTAACCATTTTTTTCGCGATTGACGGTCAAATGCACCGACTTTATCGCTGTGCAAAAACATGAAGACGATAGTGACGCGTCGAATTTAACCCCTAAGCGTTTTTTTTTTATTTTGATCATAAATGCTCATATATTTTGCTGCTGTTGCGCTTAATTAATCCAAGCACCTACCAACATTTCATAACTTGCTTACATATCCTATTCACCAGTATAACGCCTTTTGGGGCGACTAACGGAGCGAGCGAGAGGGTGGGCCTTGCACGTGCGAAATTGCGAGGGGGTACCTCCAACTGACTTGTGCACGGCACCCTACTAACTGGTCTCTAGCGATGTGCCAAATTTGGGCACAATCGGCCCAGCCGTTCTCGAGATCTGGAAGCGGCACCCTGCACGTGCGCACGTGCAAAATGGGTCCCAACTGACTTGTGCACGGCACCCTACTAACCGGTCCCTAACCGTGTACCAAATTTGAGCGCAATCGGTCCAGCCGTTCCCGAGATCTGGAAACGACCCCTGCACGTGCGCACGTGCAGCAGCACCCCAACTCTGGCACATGTATATGCAGTGCCTAGTGGATGCCTACCTACATGCCAACTTTCAGCGCAATCGGCCAAGTAGTTACCGAGATATTGCAACAATTACAAAACTGACACCTCTTCGTTTTGCACGTGGCACGTGCATAAGGGGTCACCCACATGCATCGGGAATAGTCCAATACTTGGTAGAAGGAATGAAGCTACCCTACAAAAATTACCGCGTGTAAATCGGTCAAGTGGTTGCTGAGATATAAGCCTCGCAAAAGCGTGACCACGGCCGGCCGGCCGGCCGGCCGGCCGGCCGGCCGCTCATACTCAGAAATTTCCGTTAATCTAAGGAAAGACTACGCTCGCTTCGCTCGCTCCGTAAACACAACATTAACCCTCGCCGGCCGAGGGGGGGGGGGCGGGTGCCGCCCCCCCCCCATAGGATTTTTTCGCGATAGCTCCGAACACGCTGGGATAGAGAGCTAAAACTTGGCATACCTGACCTTTGATCCAAGCCGCATCTTTTGACACTAACCGAATGTTTGGGTCAGGTCAGGTCACTGACCTATGACGTCATAAGTGAACCTCTGCACGGTCTTCAGATGTCGCAACTTCGCAACGCCCTCACTAACAGAGGAGATGTCACAGGGAAATGAAACTTGCAGGATCTAGTATCCATTATGAGTCTCACAACTTGTACATCTCGGATTTTTCCTAAAGGTCATATGAGGTCAGGTCATTTTCGTCACCTCACCATTATACATAAGTCAATGGGGAAAAATTCAAACTGCTATTCTGGCGCCGGGAACGATCTCCAACTATCTCAAGCACACAGAATCGTGATTTGATGCACTCCTTGCAAGGTTAGATGCGTCACTTTTGCAATGTTGACCTTCCGTGACGTCAGTTATGACGTCATCAAGGTCATATTAGTTTTTCGTCAATAACTCCCGATCAAATTGAGCTAGCGAGTCGGGAAAGCCACCAAAGGACTCAGGAAGACCTGCCGAATCGAATGATATGCGACATGACCTCTTTCGACCAACTTCATGACCTGGGGGTGCTGACCTGACCTTGACCTGAGGTCAACACCCTAAGTTGACCTGACCCGAACAAAAAGTATATCATTCGACGCGCCTGAGCAAGGCAAACACGATGCTGCCAAAATCGTGGCTCTGCGGCCGTTTTTTGCGAAGTTATTCACCAAAAACTGAACCGTACCCTGGGGCACTTGACCTGACCTCCGAGGTCACCGGTTGACCTAGGACCTTAAAATCGGGTACCAATCTCTGCGTCTCGTAACGGCGCACACGCTCGTTTTCCGGGACGCGCTAGCTCCACCAGGGGCGAAACGGCGAGGGGGGGGAGGGTTCGTACCCCCCCCCCCCCCTCGGCCGGCGCATATGTAGAAAACCAATAGGTCCGGCGAGGGTTAATTCATTCGTCTAATTCTGATGATGTCACCGGGCGTAGCGACTAGCGAGGGCTAGCGATAATCACATCTAATTTTAAATTTATTAACTGCTTCACTATTTCGCTCTCCACCAGGAGACTAAACAATTCACTGTAAAACCTGTATCACCAGAGATGACGGATCATCCATCCCAGCCGGGACTCTCCTCAAAGCCACCACAACGCAACCGGCGCGGTAGACCACAAACCAGGCTGACCTTGACCCGGCCCCTGAGTCATCTCCGGCCCAGTCCGGCCCGGCTGCGTCCGAGCGACCAAACTGCTACGTGCCCTGCTTGCCAGCGCATTTTCCTGTAGACCCTACCGTCAGCCAGCTATCTCCAATACACCGACAACATCTGCACACCGCGCGAAAACAGCGGGCGCCTTTCGTCACAACAGGTGAATCAGCGCAGCCGGTACGTGTTTTTAGTGAGCACCGTAAAAAGATGGGTGAAATCTGCTTACGAAACGTTACCCTCGTCGACGTCTATCGTTTGTGTGTTGCGATCTGTGGCTGCGTGGCCGGGATGGCGGTATTGGTCCTTCGTAACGTACACAGTGGCTGCCACGATAAAGTAGGAGCGTTTTTACTTTTTCTTCTTCTTAATGTGACAACAAAACGAACGTTGAATGCGTGTATTTAATAAAAACCATCACACATTACATTTACATAGTGCATTGTCATATATTTGGTGCATTATATCGTCACTGACGAAAAAACTTGACGCATAACAACGATATGCATGATATACAATTGACTCATGTCAATATTCACCTCTCATTCAACTAAAAGCATTAACTAATCATCCATTACTACGGGGCACAAACTTGAAACTTGCTTTAATTCTCATAACACCCAGGAAAGGAAAACATTCCAACGTATACCAAAATAACAATTCATACGCTGTTTCTCGAACTTTCAGAGCATTCCGAAAAATGAATAAAATTAATTACGTAAAATCTAAAGAAAAAGGTGACGAAGGTCTTGCATTGTATACAAGTGCATACATATAATCGTAAGTGCTAAGCGATGCTTCTTCACTATGCTTCACCACAGCACAATAACATTTGTGATAGCCAGATGGAGTCAGTACCTAGTCAATTCCATATATGACCTTGGTATTTTACTCCACTTTTCACTATCGACAGAATTACAGAACTAAAACTATCCTCGCAGGTGCAATAAAACAAAAATTCCTAATATATCTTCTCAGCCACGTCCCATCAAACACTACAGCAGGACCTCAGGATAACGATCCGTCCTCCTCTCTCTCTCTCTCTCTCTCTCTCTCTCTCTCTCTCTCTCTCTCTCTCTCTCTCTCTCTCTCTCTCTCTCTCTCTCTCTCCGCTCTGTCTCTCAGAACCAGGGCGTCGGCTGCGAGGCGGAGACCACCGCCCTCGGGTTGGCCCTGCCCTCTCGCACTGCCTGCTGGTAGGTGGCCCTCGCCCGTTGACACTGACTCTGGCTCGATTGGTCGGACGTGAGGACGTTGCAGATGATCTCCTGCCGACATTCGGCGTCACAGCTGGCCTGCACCACCGCTCGACCGCTCAGGTTCCTGGGGACGGAGAGTGGGATGGTAACCGAGAATAAAACGAAACCATGGACATGAGGCTACCATAGGCTATATCTATCACGAGTGGCATTTATAGTCTGTTAGGTAAGACGAGTGTTCTGGACGTTTATACGTCTGTAAGCTATGACGAGTGATGTTCGTACGTGATACGTTTGTATGGTAAGACGAGTGAGTTGCAATGATTATTGGGTGAGCGAATTAGACACGCTTGCTTTGGACCTAATTGAACCATATGTCGCTAACCAGTGACAAGCATCTATCTCGCTCTCGTATCAGACCTCGTATAGCACCGTACCGCGTACATAGGTGGCGCCAGGGAGCCCTATAGCTGAGGACTGAGTAAACGAGTAGATGCTAGACTATAGAAATCTATCTTCTACCTTTTTCGCTTTCCATAAGAAAAATCTTCAAGCGAAAATTACCAATCTGCTCACCTGTAATATTTGGTGAAGAGGTGATCCTTGATCAGCATGGACTGGACGGCACTGCTCCAGTTCTGCGGCGACAGTGACGCTAGGCCGTACTCCTCTGATGCCTTGAACTGCTGGTACCAGCGGGGACTGTTTCCGGCGAGCTTGTTGGCCTCCTGGAGGTTCACTGTCCACCGGGCGACCTCGGTCACCTCCTGGGGATAGGAAGAGTGAGGTCAAAAGAGGGTCCAGTCGGTAGATAACAGGACATAAGTCACAGTCAGATCCATGATAATAATTTTCGAAAGACGACTCGGGCGCTGAGCTAGAAGCTTCCGCAAGAGCGACTGTCAAATCAAGTCAAAGGGAGTCGTGGGGAAGACCTGTGAGGTACAGATCAACTCAGGTGCTAGGTCACAACAATAAAGATCAAACGAGCTCAAAAGGTACTCAACGATTACGGTAACTGGAGGGCGGGAGGCTAGGTCGGAAAGTCGACCAGTTTCTACACTGGTATACTAGTATTTGTGTTCCGAGTTGGTATTTAAGATAACATGATTTGGTTGACATTGATGTTCCAATCGGCAATCAGTTCAAGGCAGTCGTAAGCAATCACTCTAGGCTCCGCTCCTTACCCAGGTGGACTGCGCTCCCCTGCTGCCATCTACCGTGTAGACCTTGTAGCCGGGGTTCACGTTCTTCCAGGGCGACAGAGATGGCGCTACGTACGTCACGGCGAACGCCTCATCGTTGTCGTCCTTCGAGAGGTGGATCTCGTCGACGTGGGTGTGGGAGAAAAACTCTCCCCGCACCGTGGTCCGGTAGCTGGAGAAGGGACAACATTGTTTAGGCACTGGTAATCGACGTCATGCCATGCATATTTGCATAATCGAGTCGATAAATCATTTCGTTTTCGATAAATAAAAAGGAATGGGAATACGACAAAAGACGGACTTATTGCATTCGCATACGAGTTCCTCTCTGGAAGCAATGGGCATTGGACATTATGATATTTTTTTTTAGGGAAAACGTTTATTTCGAACCAATATCTTGCATAGGATTTTCTACCTTGACCATTCTCTCGCCAACCGGTACCGAACTTAAAACAGGCAGCATTTTTGTTCCCCTCCGTGCCACTCACTTTTTGATGATCTTGTAGTACATGTGGCTCCAGGCGGGCAGGATGTCTCGGTCGGCCGGTGAGATGTGGCCCACGATGTGACATTTCTCACCGGTGAGATAGGCGGCTCTCAGCTCCTCGGTGAGCCAGCGCAGCTGGTGAGAAGGGTCTCCGCGAGCCGTCATCAGCACCCAGCTGAGGACGATGTAGGGTTAGAGGTCAGACAGGTGACAATCAGCCGATCGGGCGTCAGACGGGGGATTTCATCAGCAGAGCCGCTCATCTAAGGAAGTTTGAAATATACCTATTTTCCTCCAAAACATGGGTTCCTCGGTTGATTAACATTTGGATCGGTTGTATCAAAGGTTGCATTTTTAGCGTTTTTTTGTAACTAAAAATAAATTAATTTTATCACAAGACTACAATACAACCGATACTACAATACACAAGACTACAATATTTTACAATATAACCGTTTAAATAATGAAAGTGGAACAAGCATCCTCATCATGAGAACATCGACGAATTCCACTCAGAACAATTGGATTCCTCCATTGTTCCGCATGCCGATTCTTGAGTGAGGCAAGACGTTCTAACATACACTCAGGAGTCAGGACAACGTTTTTTTCTTTTTGTTGGGTTAGGCCCTTTCGGTCTGACGAGACCATTTCAGAGCCGGAAGGATGATAGGAATTAGGGGGAGATATTGGTCTGGGCAGACACCCTAGTGAATCACCGGGGCTGAGCCCATCCAGAGGACAGGCCACCCAGCCCCAAGGTACTCACTGCACCCGGCTACGGGGTGCGCTCCCTCGGGAGCAGTGGTGCCGCTCCAAGGGAGCAGCCCGCATGAGATAAAGTTGCCTGTCCAGCCCGGAGGGCGTTGGGGACTGTGGGGGAGAAGGATTTCTGTGTCCTGAGGATAGAAGCACGGAACGGTGAGGACAACGGTACTCACAAGTTGAGTTTGTAGGCCACGTTGGTGTTGATGACGATGACTCGGAAGCCGGGACGCACCAACAGGGAGTAGTAGCCGTAGTTTTCCAGAGTGGCCGCTGGAAAAAAAAAAAACACGATACGGGTGGTCAGGAGTCAGGACGAAATTATCCAACATCAATTCTGTTTTTACCGGGATCTGCTACTATCGAATAGTATCCTAATGGCTTCATTCTTTCTACGAATCGAGCAAAACAAGGACACTGCGCTCGATAGCCTTTCACGAGATAGTGATTTGTATTTGTCATTAGGTTAACAAGAATTAAGAAGAATGGGGTTAAGCAGCTTTGCAGTTTTGTTTTATATATTTTGGTGACCAGCAAGTTGTTATCTCTTCGCGTTATGATGTTAATAGGCACCTGTATCTATTTTTAGGAAATTCGTAGAGCGACCACAACAATTCACACATTTTTTATTGCGCCATTGGAAAAGGTCTTTGGGTACGCGGCTGAGTAGAGTTTTTCCTCCTGAATATGACAAATGTATGGCTTCCTCCTGAATGAACAAAAGACCAAAATTAAACGGACGGTAGGGCAAATTAAGCACCAAGCTGTAAAGTCAGTCTGCGCTCGGTGATTTTCAACTCTGTAGCACGGATGTTGAACTGAACCAGCATCAGATAGCACTAGCCCGCAAAGTCACGTCACTAAGTTGGTTTCTCCTTCGTCCATCCGGTGTGCGTCCTGCTGCGCCGGGCTTCCGTCGGCTCTGCGGCTACCCCAAGGCCATCTGACCGGCCAGGGCTAGTGTGCAGGTCGGTCAGGCTGCGCCAACCACCGTCAGTTACCTGTCGGCGGTCTGCCCCGTCGACTGGTCCGTCTGCCTGACCTGCCGACTGACCTGTCTGACCGGGATGTCGACATTGCAGCGTGGAACCGGCCGCGGCCGTGCTGACCCGCAGTCTTGTGCGCCTCCGCCGCGCCAGACTGAGTCGGCCGAGTTTGTATGTTTCAATATCCAGTAAAACTCATACACTTAGCTGCAAAGGAGCTCTCTAACATACATTCATCTCCATAGTAGACTCCCTGCGGCGAATTACGGTAAAATTTCAATGTTACTTCTCGATCCAATGTATAAACTTTTCTTATGTAGATCGACCGCCCCACCGGCGATGCGGTATTTCTTATGCCGTTGCGCCCTCCAGTCTGACCCTTTGAGTTCTATCCCTGGTTGTTCTGAGAGGGACATGAGTCATGACGTCATGAAAGTTGATCATTTCTTCATTCCATGTAGCATTGTAGAAGTAAAGGGTGCAGGGTCTTTAAGAAGATGGATATTGAGAGTACCAAATAACGTTTCTGGATCCAACAAATAAATTGGAGGCCCGTTTGCTTTTTTAAAGGTTATACTCAGGCTGTGAAGTGAAGTGGCTCTATTTCTCATATCCAAACCCATGTCACGAATGTTTTTCTTCGCTCTCCGCGATGCGATTATATAATCGCTACTCTCACACTTGCAGTTACTATTGCCACGAATGCTACAGAACCGGCTAAGGAATGCAGCCGACAGATGGAACATGTTGCTCGCTGAAATAAAAATTAGTTTTGACGGCTTTTAGAAACCTTGCATTACGTTACGCCCTGTCAAGACCATTGAGGGGATGTTTTGGGTCTCAATCAGTGCATCGACATGCCTTAGATACCCTGAGGGTAACAAACTTGTACTTTGAATTTTTCAGGTCAACACCAGGTCATCCTAGGTCACGGAAATTTTATATCATGTATCAGTCACGTGACGCATGTTTTATAGTCCATTTTACTCATATATTTCGATAACAATGTCGTCTATGTCAGTTGAGGTCATTTTAAGCTGAATTTACCTGAGGTTAGGTTACTTTCAGGTTAACCCGCGCCCTGGTGGGGGGGGGCTATTTTTTGCCCCCCCTCCAGACTTTTCGATATATCTCCAGAACCACTGCGCCGATCGTCACCAAACTTTCAGTACCCTCCCGGACATCAATTTTACACATTGTGACCAAAATTTTTTCCAAAGGCTATGATAGGTTGGCCGGAAATGACGTCAGAGTGACGTCATGTTCTGCCGTTTTCGACCCAAAAAAGGGTTTCGCGGGAAGAGCTGTCAGGCCTAAAGCTTTGCAAATACAGAAAAATGATTCAGACATAAAAGCTGTAGAATGGACAGGGCTACAAAACTGCTATCTCGGATTTTTGAAATTTTTGGATTTTGACCCCCAAAAATAAAAAAATAGATTTTTTGAATATAATAGCCAAAAAATCCAAAAAGTTTTTTGAATTTCGAAAAAAACCGGAATATATGTGATAGTCCTTACCGCCTGCTATCTACATACCAAATTTGAGATCGATACCTCTTTTTTTGGCCAAGTTATAGCGAAAAAACTGTTCAAAATTGATGACGTCAAATTTTCAAACTCAATTTTCAGCAATTCTAGACCTCGTAGCGCAAAACAAAGACCACCATTAGACTCCCCGTGACGAGCTGCATCGAATCAATACCCATTTTATGCAAAAATATCAACTTTGAAATTTGACCTTTTTTTGACCTGACCTTGACCTGACCTCCACCAGAAAGTGACCTAAACCGTACCTGATGGTCTTATAACCAACACCATTGAGTTGGAAATGAAAAACTGGCCATAAAACATGCATCGCATAACCTTAGTAAAGTTGGGTTCATGTGGTGACCCTTGGTGACCTTTGGTGACCTGACCTATGACCTGACCTGGTATGACAAGTGACCTCTAACAGCAACATATCTACTAGGCAACTGACGCCCTATCGCTGATTCCCGACAAAATGCGTTTTCCTCGGTGTTATAGCGCATTCCCTAGAAGACCCGTGAACGGTGAAACATTTCATCTTTGACCTGACCTGTGACGTCATCGGTGACCTCGAGGTCAATAAAATTTGGTTTCCCTCGACAAATTTGACAGGCCTTTCGAACGCCGTTTGAATTTTTTGGATCCGTCCAGTAGTTTCGGAGATACGAGGGGGGGGCAAAAAATAGCCCCCCCCACCAGGTCGCGTTATAAACAGACCCCACCAGGGCGCGGGTTAAAAAAGGTCAAATTTTTGAAAATGAAATTTTTAACAAAAAGATACCTATCAGATGCAGTTTGAGCTCAGAAACACGATGGTGCTATCTATATTGCTGTACGATGTCAAAAACGCACTGAAAAATATATTTGAAAAATCTATAATTGTGAATTTTTTCTTATAATGCGTATAACTTGGCCATTTTTGAAGATATTGGGCTTGAACATTGCAGAATAGGTCATCGACGGGGGTTCGATTACATATATTCTGTTTTTTTTCCGAAGTCGATTTCTTTTATTTTTTTGTAATTATAGATATATGTATATTCTTTAAAATTTTCAAATTTTGAATAGTCGAGATCGCGGTTTGATAGCCACGTTTATTCCAAGTCCTTTCATGCAAAGAAATTAGGTCTTGGTACCTTAAAAACTGAAGTCTTGAGAGCCATTGCCGTAGTTCAATGTTTTGCATAAAAATCGGTCGACATGACGTTACTCTGACGTCATTTTCAGCCGACCTATGGTAGCTAGAAAGTTGAAATTCGAACACAAGGTGTTAAATTAATGCCGCTAAAAGTACCGAGAGTTTCGTGTCGATACGTTAAACGGTTTGGAAGATACTGCCGAAAAACGGGAGGAGGGGGGGGGGCTCTATAGAGCCCCCCCCCCCCCTCCCGTTTTGCGCAGGTTAAGCTCTTGCCATCGCATACTCTTAAGTGAGAGTGATTGTTTGCCATAGACAAATAGAAGTCCCTTCATCTCGGCATTGACCCCGACTGTTACTCGGTCTGCTCATGCATTTTCAGTCTAAACTGGTTTTGCACACTGAGAGCCACTAAATTATAAGCATTCTATCATGGGACTGTGATCTACCACAAACCGTCAGCTGCAGAGGCTGCAGCGTCCAGCTATTTATAAAGTTTGAAGCCAAGAGAAACAGATAAACAGACGTTATTTAGATACCTATTTGCGGACGAACGATCGTACTTATTTTTTAATTCAATTCAACACTGGCTAAGTAAGACCCGGGCCCGGCGAACCAAAATAAGCAATGAAAAAGTCATGTTTTGTTGTGTTCTCGCTTCTACCGTGTAGGTGCACATTTTTGCATGTAATGTATGCTGACCACCATTGATAATGAGTGCTCTTCGATAAATAAACGCAAATTATCAACGCGGAAAATAGGTACCACAGAAAAAGCCGTGTATGATGCGCAACGACAGTAACATAGCTGTAGTGAAAGTGTAACTGGTGTAAATTTTTGTAGGGGAAGCTTGGCTTACATTCTATGTATAGGTATCCGAGCCAGCAAAAATCGCGATGAACATTTTATGAATTCAAAACTTCAAATGAAAGTCTTTGAAAAATACGATTTCCCTGGAAACATATAAAAGTTTCAGTCAGAAAAAATTCATTCCCGCTTCGGAGTTTGACACAAATTACAAATAGATTGTATAACTAGTTGCGAAATAATTTGGCGTTCGTAAAAAAATTGCGGGTAAAATCGATAGCTGCAATGTGGATAGGACAGCATTACTTTATTTCATACAGTCATTTGACATTGGTGGTCCCAGCCAGTCCATCATGTGCCAATAAAGTGACACATTCTCGAGGATTAATGACTCCATCACCTGCTCAAGTGCCCTGCTGCCGAAACCATTTGACGGCGGCCCGCGGATAATCCCGAAGAACATTCTGAAGATGTTTCAATCATCTAGCTCGAGCCCCGTTCAACTCGTATATAGTCCACTGTCTTCGACGGATTAGTCTTTTATCTGCAAAACCAGCTCGTGTTGCCAACATTGGGTACGGTCGATTCGAGGTACGGAGCCGCGGATGGGAGCCGGTCGCTGTTACCTAATGGCTGGTGTCGTCACATGCATCCAGCGAGCTACACGCTTGTGAACCAGAGGGGATTTTCTGTAGAACGAACAACGTGGAATGTTTGGGTGAGACAATTGGGTCCGATCACTTATAAGCCTGGGGGTTGAATTTGGCTGGAAGGAGGATGGTGTAAGATCAAAATATGCGTAAGAGCTAAAGCTATAGATGGCGACTGAAGGATTGTTGGGATTGTTAGGACATGCTGAATTCCTAATGTGCGCTGGAGCTTTACCATGTGGAAGATATTACGAAACACATTGATTCCGCATGGCACTGTTTGTTAGCTATTTATGGCTCAACTCAGGCGAATTTACCTGATTGGTAGACAGGTATATTTGTGCAGTGCATAATTTTTATGTGAATGCAGACCAGTTCTAGGGGACAGTCTGCCATCTGCACGTAACACATATTTTACATTTCTTGCAGTGTGGTTTTCCCATGCCCGTCAGACATACCGCACAAGGTCAAATAAAGTCAGCTTGTCTAATGCGCCATTCTCATGTTCCACTATAATCTATGCACCTCAAACTGTCCCTTGTGCCTCCCCTGCCCTCCCAATGTCCCACCCGACACAAAACACTCCGTTCCCAACTCGTCACTCACCGGCGTTGGGCGGCAGCCAGGGCTTCCACATATTCGCCAACATGCTGTAGAGCCACGCGCTGCTGAAACCGGCGTTCCACACCTCCTTCGGCGGAAAACTGCCGGATAAATGGGGTAACGTTTGTTTAGCTTCCTATGAGATGGCAGGTCAAAATACAGGGCGACTTTATATGAAATTACAAAAGAGAAAAGCTCTGATTGCATCTGTTGGTCGACGCCAAGTGGAGTTCATCAACCATCAACTCATTGCTGAGTGTTGAGCGACTGGTTAAGGTAAACTCCTCCGAGTCGTGATAAACTCTCACTTGTTGATGGGCGCCGAGTCGTGGCTGTTAGTTCTCGATGGGCGCCGAGTCGTAGTTTAAAACTCTCACCTGTTGATGGGCGCCGAGTCGTGGTTTCCGATGACAGGCAGCACGGGGATGCCGGGGAAATAGCGCTGCAGCAGCGCCGTGATGCTGCTGGTCGACGAGAGCACCTCCTCTCGGGAGGTGCGCCAGTCGTCGTGGGGTGCGTTGTCACCCGTCCACATAATGTAGGCCACGTCCTAAAGGTAACAGTAACGAGAAGTGTCAGAGGGGAAAGGATTGTATGCTCGACCGCGGATGTGTTTAACGTGCATTCATTAATATTAAGTTTTACACGATACAAACTAGTCGAACAACCTTATTTTACTGTGTCATGTAGGCAAACAATTTTTGTCATAAATCATAATCTAATCAGATATCCAAATATGTAAATTGCTATCTATACGCCAGCTTTATTTTACGCAAACCTAACTCGTGTGTATATAAAGCATCCCACATCCCTCGGGTGGTCTGTTGAACCATTTGTCTCTCACCGGATGCTGTTTGGCCGTGTGTTGGACCATTGACTCGACCAGTTTGTAGGGGGAGTCGCATCTTGTGTAGTCGCCCCATCGACCGGCGCGACGGGACGCGTTCGTCGGAAAACCTGTGGGACGAACAGCGGTCATAGGTCGGACTGTTTGGGGTCATCGCTAGCGATTAGAATAAGATGTTTTGCATTTGTCTTAGATCGATAGTTCGATATGCCGTTAGCAAATTCCACCATTGTTGGCGTTCTTAACTTATTACTCGGTGCTTACAGATATGCAGGTAGGTATAAATCTTTTACGATTGCTTATTTTTATTCATAGATACTGCATCGGACATCAAAAACATTCTGCAGATGCTTGCAGACCTGAGCTGCATCGAATATTTCCCATAGTCGGAGCTGCAGCCAAGTTCCGTCTCATGTCCAGCCCTCTGCACGGGGAGAAGCTTCATGATAAAAACAGCATTGTCCCTTCAATTCACGGCATAGAATGTTGCAGCGTTGAACGTGCCGTGCAGCCTCCCATTGTTTACCGACCGAGAGGAAATACAACGGCGCCCATGTCACCGGGGCAGAAATATGGCGTGGAATTTACTGTGCTTTGCCCATTGGTTTTATTGTAATTCTCTTTGGAATGCTTGGAAACTTCCCTGATTTGACTAAATAGTAAATTCATGGCATCACGGATATCAAACATTGCAGATCAGGCGAACCATGCTCACTGAGCATTGCTCAGGCATTATATTTACCCAAAAACTCTTGTGTTCTGTGGCCTGTGCAATTTGATCATTACCAGCAAATATACAGACTAGGTATTCGCAGATACAAAGAGTCATAGATATTAGACTGCTGTATTATCAACCTAGATTTTATCTATGCCATAGGCCTATATCTCATTCCGCATCACAGTCACAGCACGTACCGTTGTCGGCGCGGCAGCAGAGTACCTCCGAGCAGCTGTTGTCGGCTCCCTCTCGGTACAGACTGTCCAGGTGCAGGTCAGCAATGTGGAGCACCGTCAGACCGCGAGTTGCAGGGCTCTGGAATGGACAAACTCAATTAGCAAAATAGTTACGCAGAGGTGCAGGTTTCCTAACGGTTATTTTAAACGTTTTTTTTTTGCTTTCGTACATATATTTCCTTTTGTTAAAAACTTTGATTCATGCAACTTCAAAGAGGGCTTTACCTTTTAGGACCAGACTCGCAGTGCACGTACCAATATCGGTTGATCGACATTGATCGATATCGATACATTTAGTACATGTCAGCATGTTGACTACAGAATAATATTCCATTATTCACAGAAAGTCAGCTGCCTGAAGTGGTAGACTGTGCCGCATCACACGGGCTGTGTGACACAGTTAAATGCTGTGACCCAACGCCCAACATTCATAGATACTAAATCGCGTGGAAAGCGGAACAACTTTGCGCCTTTCAGTCAACTGAAAGCTTTTGAGGAGTGAAACATCATTATGTAGTCAACTGTACATACGCAAATGAATATTGCTTACAAGGTAATCGGTGAATGATTGGACTGATCAACCACTCGTAACATTTCATCAAAATTACTAAGAACAGAAGGCTCATGATGTTTTGTTTGTATTAGACGAACAATTATTGTTCGTTCCCGTTTGGCATATACCATTACTCGTGGTGACTTATTCCTACCTGTGACGGGGACTAATTTTTGTTTGGACTTTCCACTTCTATCTAATGACTTCCGTCTCGAATAATTCTTCACCGTCCTTGTATGGATCAAGCCGATAAGCCACATACGAACTTTAATTTTCCTGATAGCTTAAGGCCCCACCACGGTAGTGATTCAATGTAACTTTCTGTGATTCAGAGACCGCCAATTCGCAGCCTTGGAGCCACGCCTTTTTGCAATTGAGTGCAAAAAGGCGTGGGTTCAGGGCCGCGTGGGCGGTTTCTGAATCAAGTGCACCTTGCAACGATATAACAGAGATCGTGATCTCATTCACGCTAGGGTACCCACATATCGTACCCCTGAGTCGCATGTGGTGCATCCGGCAGAACAATTGTCGCTGCATTTAACTCCGGTGGACGGAAAAATAAGCGGGTACCCCATGGACAAAGTGTTTGCTGCAAACGCTGTGCATTATATAACGCTTCAACGTGCAAATGTTAGGTATGTAAGTGGGCGCTGCGATGCTGGGCTGTGCCGCATTGTGAGTAACGTCACGAATCACGGGCTCATTCAAAAGCATGTTCATTATACTTTTCAGATAAGAACTTGCTCAGCTACATAATTGCATTTGCTGCTCATTTTAATCCGTAATAATTTCTTATACCAGACAGCGTTTGTTATTCCTACACGCGTTAACAAGTCACTCGCCAACATAATTTGAAACACAACACGTCCTGCGTACAGAAAATCCCCATTATTTCTCACCGGGTACAGGTAGTCCCTGATTTTGATTTCGGCCGGCGTCGGGTCCTTTCTCAGGTAGAGGGTGGCGTCTATATCCAGGCTGGGCCGAGGACAGGCGTCAATGTAGATAGCGCAAACCTCTGCACTGCTCAGTTTACTGTTCTGAACGATGTAGGTAAGCGGCTCCTGTGGTGGGGCAAAACAGAGGTAAATTAGATGCAGCGAAGAGAACTAATTATGATGAAGCTCACAGTGCGGATTTTCAACACGCAAGAGACGAATTATGCCCATGTAAGCCAGCTTTAAAAGCGGCATTATAAGATTATCAGTGTTTGGACGAAATATGATGTGCAAATCCGGACTCGTCCTTCATGGTCGAGCGAGAATTCAAACCTTTACTTGTCAGCATGAAACAGTGTGATAAGTCAGACAGCACCAAGTTGTCATTTCTTATTTAGACAAAGACACTTAGGACTTACCCGTTTCTTAAACATTGCTTAACATGAAACAGTCCCTGTAGACATGAGCGAGCTTTAGTGTAACCTGGACATTCAGGCCTAAGCGAGCAACCATGTATGATCAACGGTGACATTTATCCAGCAGCAGTCGTCATACGTCAGTTGTCCAACCTGACTGCCTTTTCACGCAGCTTATCCATTCAATTCCCAGCCAACTAATTCATTACGTTACTAAAATCCCCTGTCCCGCACTTACCGCCCAGCTGTCGATGTAGCCCTCGCAGACGGAGCGCGCCACGGGCACCACACTGCAGAGACGGTAAGCCTTGCTTCTCATCAGCATGCTGGAACCAGTGAGTTTGACCACTCCCTTCACCACGGCTCCCAGCGCCTTGCAGGTGCCGCATTTGACTCGGTCCGCCACTGGAATATAAGGCGAAAGGCGTGGGTTAGATTCCTTATCGCTAAGCGAGCTATGGCTTATCGAGCTTATGGCTAATCGAGTTATGACTTGTGACGTTATTGTGTTGTGGCGTTATTGTGGCTTTGTTGTGACATTATTGTGACGTTATTGTAATGTCCTTCTCGTTTATCTGATCTGATGCCCAAACAGGTCTTCATTTAGCTTTTGCAAGTCATCGTCCTGCACTGAGGCGAGCAGGAAAAGCTAATTAAGTCTGACTTTGGTGTATCTCGACTTGATAAAGCAGGGTTTAAGAAATGTTAGGGAACAAACATTTTAAGAAACGTGTGTCACATTGCTCACTTAAATACGCAAATACTACATAACGCAAGGCGGGTGGAATGCCGAAGGACTTCTATTTATCACCGATAGTAGGCGTCAACCAATCCAAATGTTATGCGTAATTGTTTTACAATATCCGAGTAAAGTGTTCAATTTCACCTCAATCACAACTTCAATTGCACTTTCAATTGCACCTGCACCTCGATTTATGGTAGCATCCAGCGTATATCGAATAATGGTAAACGTCTCGGCTTTAAACACGCTCTAGAGAAGGCCAACACCGGGGTAATCCCGTTGCATGTTCTAGACGTTTTCCAGCCTCTGGAGCGGCGGGCATTGCGGAAACTGGATTCGGCACCCGCCCAGTTTGTGGGAGACAAGTTATCACGCAGTCTAGACTGGTCGTGAGTCCGTGACTGGCTTTAAAACTAGATTAAGTACCTCCTTGCTAGCATGAAGAAACACAGACCTAAATCTTAGCGCTGTTGTTGAGCAACTCTCAATTGACCTTGACATATTGAAGATGACCGCAGAAAATTCATGGCGGTAAGCTAAGTCGGCTGTCCCTTTTCGCAAAGAAATGCTGATATGGCAGCGGATAGCGAAGCGATTAGTGTAATCTCGCTGTGCTGATCGGTTCAAAAGCCAGTCTTCTTGTATGTTATGGATGGCCACTGTCAGCAATGAAGTTTAGCTATGCAATCATTTTCCCTCTCGATATGCCTTACAACCGGGTCTGCTAATGTCGTTATCAAACTTAGGTGAGAAGCAAAAAGGCATGCGTGCATTATACTTATGTGGCATTCAAAACAAGCATGGGACAATAAAAACGTACCTATATGTAATACAAAAATGTCCAGACACATTACCAAAACCACAGATAACAGTAGTACTACTGTTATCTGTGCCAAAACTAATGACGTTTCCTGCCTGGAAATAGTCACCTGGAAATAGTCATAAATCTTAGAATAAACGTTTATTTGAGTGGGCCTTTAGGGACATATTCTAACATTTTCACTCAAAACGGGGCCAAATATAAACATGCTTGACATCTATCGATTTCACGTTCACCATTGAGCGAGACCTGGCGCTCCTACGAAAATAATAACAGAAATGTTTCTATTTCACTGAATGATCCATTGTTTCCCTGTAATGTCCCATTCACATAAGCGACACATTCCATTAGCAAAAGGTTTTCCGTGTAGAGCTAAATTAACCCGCGCCCCACTGGGGTCTGTGTATAACACGCCCTACTGGGGGGGGGGGGGGGGCTATTCATAGCCCCCCCTCCTAACTCCGAAACTACTGGGCCGATTGTCAAAATTCAAACGGCGTCTGATAGCCCCGGAAAAACTGTCGAGCGAAACCTAATTTCATTGACCTCGAGGTCACCGATGACGTCACAGGTCAGGTCAAAGTAAAAATTATTAGCATTTTGGCTTGTTCACATTTTGGGCTCTGGCCGCCGTCTTACAAGTCAGATCAGGCTCATTTTTGGTTTCCACACTCGTGAACAGATGCTCTAGATACCTTGAGGGTACCAAACTTGTACTTTGATTTTCAGGTCAGGGTCAAGTCATCACAGGTCACGAAAATATTATATCATGCGTCGGTCACGTGACACATGTTTTATGGTCCATTTAGGTCATATGTAGATTTCGAATTTGATGTCTTCTGTGTCATTCGAGGTCATTTTGAGTCGAATTTAGCTTAGGTCAGGTCACTTTCAGGTCAAAAAAGGTCAAATTTTGAAGTTAAGATTTTTCAACAAAAAAGGTGTCTATTGGATGCAGTGTGAGCTCAGGAACACGATGGTGCCATTTCACGGGCGTAGGAACGTCATGAAAAGTGGGTGGGCCACCCTGTCAAGGGGCCTCCTTTTCCAGGGGGCCTCCTATTTTCAGGGGCCTCCAACTTTTGCATCGTCCTGATGGCTGCTTTCAAGTATGACCTCCAAATCTAGCTTCAGAGATCGGGCAGATGTACCCAGTGGCGTAACCGCTTAAGCGAACAGTGCGGAAAGTCCGCACCATTTTTAAAACTCCCCTCCGATTTTTTTTTAGAATCTATTTGCCGCAAACGGCGCATGACCCCTGAAAACCCTTACACAAATGTCTTCCTCGTTTCCCAGGTGCCCCCATTAGCTTCATAGGCGCCCTCTTTGGCATATAAGCGCCCTATGTATAGTCATCAGAGACATCCCTATATGTCCCACACCCACAGTCGCCCCGTTGTCGCATATACAACCTGTTATGGACACTTGAAGGCGCCTCTCTTTGCCACGCCGGTGCCCCTGTTTCTTATGAATGCACCCCCATGGCATTGATCAATTGCAGTCTGCAGACCTCTATTGCATGTGGACGCCCATATAGTAGGCCTCAGAGGTACCCCTCTTTCGCATTGAGGCACCCCTATGGGCTTCATAGGCGCCCCTCTATTGCACGTAGGTGCCCTACTGTCTCAGAACCGCTCCCCTTTGGCATGCAGACGCCCATCTTTCGACGGAGGAGCCGCCGTGGTTCTTAGAGACGGCATGTTGCTCCCAGACGCAGATGGGGCTCTCGGAGTCGACAGTGTGGGACCTTCAGTCGCTGATGAGTGCCCGCCAGATGTGGACCCTCGGAGACGCCGGTATGGGGCCCTCAGAGATGCCGGTATGTGGCCCTTAGAGACACCGGTGTGGAACCCTCAGATACTTCAGTGTGAAGCCCTTACAATTGCTGGTGTGGAGCTATGAATGCGCTGGCGAGGCCGGTACATGGGCATTAGAGCTCAGTGAGAGCTTGTGTGGTGCCTTCAGTGGCCTTGTGGAGCCGTTAGACATCAACATGGTGCTCTCAGGAGCCGGTGAGTCCTCAGAGTCACCGGTGTGGGGCCTTCAGAGCTCCGAGATACTGGTGTGGGGCCCTCAGAGGTGTCGGTGTGGGTCCTTCAGATGTAAGTATCTATAGAGCCTTGAGATGCACAGGTGTGGTGGCCCACAGAGGCGCCGGTGTGGGGCCCCCAGAGCCACCGATATAGGGCCCTAAGAGACACTAGTATGACCCTCAAAGGCGCCGCTGTGTGGCGCTCATAAACACTGGTGTGGAGCCATCACAGGCGGGTGGAGCCGTTAGAAGCCGGAAAGGGCCCTTAGATGCCTACAAGGAGCCTTCAGAAGCACGCGTGGCACCCTTATGGGGATAAGCGTGTCTACTTATGAGCCCTTGAGGTGCTCTCATGAGCTCTGTGGGGCCCTACCGAGCCGAAATATGGCCACGGCCAGTTGCCGCCGCATGACACTTCGGACTATCATTCTCAGGGGCCTCATCTGCCTAGTTTGAATAGAAGGGCCTCTCAGACAATCAGTCTCAGGGGCCTCCTCTGGCTAGTATAAATAGAAGGGCCTGTTAGACCATCAATCCTAGGGGCCTCTTCTGGTTAGTATAAATAGAAGAGTCTCTCAGACCATTAAAGGGACACTCCCACCTTAACATTAGTTTTGAGGTGAGATAGCCAAATTGGTGGCCATGGCCTGCAAATACCGGTTTGGGCACTCACAACATCGACAAATGCTTTAATTCGGAGATATGGAATTTCAAACTTGCAGTTTTCGGATTCTAAGGGGCTAGTGCATTGGTATGCCCCCTTAGAATTTGTGACGTCAGCGGAGATCTAACGATTTTTAAATCTTTTACTAAAACGTTTGGTAGCACGCGGTGGTATATGCTGCTTTGCGCGCAACAAATGCCGCACTTTCAAATAAAGTCGCTAGGAACAGCGGAGATCCCAAAAAGTAAACAAAAGTAAAAGTCTAATATCTTGAAAACCGGTGAATATTTTTCGATGAAATATGGTAGATATTCGTTTTCGCTCTTTCTGAACCGAGCGACATCACTTTCGTGCCAATTCATTAACTTTTTTGAAGGTGGGAGGGTCCCTTTAATCTCAGGGGGCTCCTGTGGACAGTATAAATAAAAGGGCCTCTCAGACCATCAGTCTCGGGGGCCTCCCTAGAAAAGTGTAAATGTGGATAGAGGGCCCCCTCAGATTCATTAGGAGTGGACCTCTCTGACTATCAGTCTCAGGGGCCTCTTGCGACCAGTATGAATATAAGAGCCTCTCAGACCATCTGTCTCAGGGGCCTCTTCTGACTAGTTTGGATAGAGGGCCCTCCCAGACCACCGGTTTCAGGGGCCTCCAGTGGCCAGTTATATGAACAGAAGGGCCTCACAGCCATCAGCCTCGGGGGCCTCTTCTGACTGGTGTGAATATGAGGGCCTCTCATACCATCAGTCTCAGGGGCCTCCTCTGCCTAGTGTGAATATAAGGGCTTCCCAGGCCATCAGTCTCAGGGGACTCTTCTGACTGGTGCTGGATTGATGGACCTCCCAGACCGAAAGTTTTGGGGGTCTCCTGTGGCCAGTATGAATAGAAGGGCCTCTCAGTCCATCAGTCTCATGGGCCTCTTCTGCCTGGTGTGATTATAAGGGCCTCTCAGGTCATCAGTCTCAGGGGCCTCCTCTGACTACAGTGTAGATGGATAGGCCTCCCAGACCATCAGTCTCAGGGGCCTCTTCTGACTATTGAGGATAGAGGGGCCTCCTCTGACTAGTGAGGGTAGGGAGCCTCGGCTAGACCGCCAGTGTCAGGGGCCTATTCTGACTAGTGTGGATGGAGGGGCCTCCCAGACCAACAG